TTATTATTATCATCATTACTGTACAATAATGATAATGATAATAATGACAATTAATAATGCGGTAAAGCAGCAATATAATAATTCAGTAACGCAGCAGTAAAATAATCTAGTAATTCAATGGTGTGATAATTTAATATGTGTTGAAGTTGTTTCGCAACTTTCATTTGCATACCTGTTATGAATGTGTCAGAAGAGAAAACGTAAATAAGCATATTATCAATGACAATCTCTTTAAACATCTGATTATCATCATAATCCTTAAATATATTCTCACTAATTTGTACGAAATAATTTAGCAAAATACTATGTATAGGCTGATGAAATGAGTGTAATACCGTGATATCGACATTTGGTACGATTCATTTTCTGGGCATTAAAGGTTAAATTATTTGGATGTGGCCCACGTGCGCGTAATTTGCAAAAGTTATCTCGCAATCCTTCAAGACCTAATGCACTTGTTTGTTCCGCAAATGCTTTCATTGCTGCAACAGCCTTCGATACTTTTGGTGCTTCGTTCATGGCAGCTTTATTTTCGTTTACTCCTCGATCAGTTTGCTTTGCGGCTGCATGTTTCCTGAATTGCTTGCTGTTTTCATTTCTATGCTTGCGATGACATTCTTCTCGAAATTAGTCAATACCTCTTTATCGTTTTGCAATTGGGTAATGTTAATGATTAATGATATAATTACGGATGCGATTGTTTTGACTTGAAAAGAAGACGTAATATGTTCATGTTTACATTCGCTATAAATTAATGATGATTATTAAATCAATCGAAGAGCGTAAAATGCTTCTGTTGATTGATATTATCAGATCTGCATTTTTCTTTCACGATATTTTCCTTTTATCAGATAATCTAATTCGTCATATTCAAAATCACACAACTATCGAAATAATTTCAAGGTAAGCTGATGATTGCAGGAAAATGAAAGAAAGAAAAAAATTATCCATTTCATTCGTTTTGCTAACTTGGAAAATGTATATATCAGTTACAAAATTTTTAAAGACTTTCTTAGAAATTAGCTCGAATTTTTATCATCCACTAATTTTTTTCTTTACGATTAAAATTTTTCCTTCTTCTTTCATAAATACGATTAAATTAATAATGGATAGTAAAGAAATCTTCCCTTATTTTATGCATAGTCAAATTAATAAAGAATTAATTTAAACAAAATTTCCCAACGTAGCTAAACGGACTCTTTCTATCCCTCTCTTCCCTCTCTCTCTCTCTCTCTCTCTCTCTCTTTCTCTGTATAAGAATAAATTTACTCATATTGGTCTAATGATGTTAGAAATGACCAAAATATAGTATTTGTTGCTATTTTAATATAACTAACATTATCGATCAGAGCAGTTTTGATACCACAAAATGTCGAGATATAAAAAAATTGATGAAATCAGTTGAATGGAAATATAATTCAACGAGATTCCGATAGTGATATCTCAATATTTGCACTAACAAATTTTATTTCAATAAACAATGGATCAATCAAATAAGATTATGTAAATTTATCAATGAAATTAACCGATTTCAGAGTATAGTACGAATATGTTGTTGTATAGATTAATAAAATTATATGTATATATATATATATACCAAACTTCAATTTTTATCGATAAAATTTTATATTTTTTTGTTTGCGAAAAAATGAAATTAAAATATTCAATTGTCCAGAGTTACAAATTTGAAATCGATAACACATATGATATTAAAGTGAAAACTGTGATAACAGTAAATTAAGATTTTTTTGCGAGGCAAATGATATGATAAGAAAAAGATTAAATATATTATGCGTATCATCTATTTCATTACTTTTAGCAGTGCTATGAAAGAGTTATGTAAATAATATGATTACATACGTGAATTATCACGTTACTCATTGCCATAATATCGCATCAAACACTATACTTGGAAACAAGAATTAGCAATAATGATTTAAATTCATGATAATAACTAATCATTTTTCGTTTTTGAGGAAAATAATGGGCATATTAACTTTACCAAAATATCTTAGTAACAAGCAAATTCAAAATATTAAATTAATGGTAATAAAATCATGCATACAGCACCTTTTTTTGTTCATTTTAATCACGATAATGACTTAACCAACCATACGATACAAAACTACAATAATAAACTGATTAATTTTTTATTGATCCGCTATTTTATACATTTTTATCCATTAATCACAATATTTATACATTTGCTGATATTAATATTCACAAGTTTAAACTTTATCTTATTTTGCCGAAAAGTGAATTTAATTAATGTTTAATATTTTCAAGGAAAATTGCTAGAAGCTTTGTTTATTTGTTATAAAAATTTTGATTTGCTATTTATTGTAATAAGAAATATTTTAACATTTATATCTTTAGAAATAGAATTCTGTCTTACAAATGAAAACCAAATTTGAATTTATTAATGAATACAATCCAAACATTTAAATAATCCAAACAAGTTATCTTTTAAAAGTTTTATCCAAAAAGACAGCAAAGAATAAACAATTATGTAAACTTTTACAACTTTTCTTTAGTAATTTAATTCTTGATTCCCCAACTATCCATTAACAATTTTCAATTAACTTTTTTAACGAGTATAAGATAATGGGCTGATTGTGCATGGTCAATTTCTTCATTATATGAGTTAAAATTTACAACTAAATAAATTATATTGTGGAACGTTTCGTAGTTAATTGGAAACAAAGTTAGAAGCAATTCAGAAGTTTAGAAATTATTTAAAAATATATTAAAACAAAACTTGAATTATTATTCTTTAATTTATTACCAATAAATGGACAAATGCATAAATGAAATATAAATTTGATTTTCGCTAATTAAATGCAGAGAATCATACGGTATACACTGAGCTTATCATTAACGAATTTGATAAGTTTCTTTTGAAAGTATCACTGATATGTAAACGTAAACTGTGTATTCCCTTCAGTAATTTTGTTGAAAAAGAAAATATAATGTTGAAATTAAATTGCTAAAAAAAATATAGGCATTATGAAGTGAAAAACATTAAAATAAGCATTTATTTAGTTAAAATTTACTAAATAATGGGTACTGGCATAAATATCCACTTTAAAATTACAGCGAAAAATAAACAACTTGAAAAAATTTAATAAACTAATCTGCAGGAAATTTTATGTAACATATTCAGTTTATTCAAATCTTGTTATCATCCGATTCCATTCTATATCACAATCACTAAACTTCTTTTGATGACATCAAAAAGCGAAATAAACAACAAATTCTATATCAAATAATCACTGAACTTCTTTTGACGATGTCAATAAGCGAAATAAACAACATGTTAGTATTATTAACCAACTGTTAATTGACAAAGGAAGAATTAACAAACAGTATTTTGAAGGAAAAAAAAAACAGGAATTTATTGAAATAACTGAAAACATGAAATGAATGTTTTCAATTATTTCAACGAATAGAGAAATTGGAAATGTCTCAGAAAACAGCCGAAAGGAAAAATTCAGGAAGAATGTATGGAATATTAGAAAGCTTCTAAATGATTAGGAATTTTGACCTCACAATTAATAAAATGATCTTTAGAAAAATGTTTAAATTTTTTTGAAACATATTAAATGAACGAGATGATGAGAATAAAAGAATTTCTAGAACTTATTGAACATTTTTTATAGTTCGCTCCGGTATAATTCTATCACTCATTTTTTTTAATATGTTATTTGCAGAGGGATAATAAAGAAGCACAGGTTATTCATTCATTTTTATCATATCACAGTGATATCCTTATTTTATCCGATTCATAAATGCTGTAATTCCCGTAGAACGGAGCATTCATAACTATGTCATAATTTGTATAGGCGTCATTTCTTTTAGTATTTTAAACAACGATACTTTCGGGAGAAGGAGCGGAAAGTCAGAACAGCGCAACTAAAAGCCTCAAATTTATTCAGGCAAGACAAGAACACAATATCATTATCTAAATTTATAATGATCTTCCACACGCCCGCTACGCAACGAGCTGATTAGAAAACGTCAGAAATTCGACAAATGATCTAAAATGAGGAATATCAGCCTGTAGATCATATGACATATGAAGTAATTTTGTGCAAGAATTTAACTACAAAGCATCAATCATTTTTTCCAATCATAACAAATACAAATCTTTTTTCTGTGATGCAAACACAACGAAATATACAATACATTTTAAAAAGCTTGCTTTTTGAACTGTTTTTATTAAGATTAAGGAATGATAAGTATGCATTTGTTGAGAAATCTCAAAAATAAAATTTTTCTTCCAAATAACAAATAAAGTTTGTTTGTCTAAATTCATTGTTTATAAAAAAAAATTAAATTTGAAAATTTGACTGATCAAATAAATTATGACTTGCTAATGATGATCAAAAGTATTATGAAAATTAGATAACATAAAGAAGAACATACTTCATATTTAAAAGAAAATGAAAATCCTACTCCGTGAACTGAACACCAACTTCATATTTATTTTTTTTTTGAGCAATCCAAAACATCAGTTCAATTACCTTTAAATTTTTCTCACTAAACTTCAAATTCACATAATAAAATCTAAAAGCCAACAACATTTAGTAATTTATTAAGCAAAAGATTCGTCGCTTTCTTATACACAAGCTCTCTTTTAGAACGATAATAATAAATTATCAAAATTTGTGTAAGATGTGAAAAAATGAAATGTTGAAGTAAAATGGGGATAAAGCGATGAATCTTACTTTGGACTATTAATGCTATATACACTTAAACCACCGAAAAAATGAAAAAGAAGCGAGAGCCACAAAACAGAAGAAAAAAAACGCATCAAGACATGAAATATCATAAAAATTGGACAAAAAGTATGTCCTGGAATGATAATATAATGATAATAAACATCCGTTAATATTTTTAACAAGACTGAGCTAAATTTCAAGTGCAAATCAACTGTATTATCTAAAAAAAAATTATGTAAAATTCTGAATAGAGAGAAGGTAGAAAAAGTAAACAACATTCCATAAGCCAATTAGTTAACTAGGTGAAAATGTAACATTACAACAGGGAAATGAATTATCGAAAAATGCAATTTTAAATTAGGAGCGTTCGTAATTCTCCAGTGTTCGATTTGTTTTCGGTCCAACAGGTGGCGGATGCGAGCTTTTCTTGCTATTCGATACAAACGATGAGCTATAACGCTTTGTACTTAGTGCACCATCAAATGTTACGTAAGCTCCTTCCTTTAAACCTGAAACATATATTTTTTATGGAAATAATTGTGCACAAATTTGAGTACCATCATTAAAAAAATGAACCTCAAATTAAGTCTAAATGATTACTGGGAGCAAATATTGGCCTTAATGCAGAATTAAATGATTATCAGAGAATATGCAATTAACAGAAGTGAAACATTTGATAAATGCAAATTACGTTTGATGCATCATTCAGTGACCGAAAAAATTGATAAGATTAAGCATTTTTTTTTTAAATCTAATAGTGATGTTACCATTCATAATTCTTTCAAAATCGCCATCATCAATTTGACTGGAATCCACTTTTGGTTTTCTTGTCTTTAAAGCAAGTTCGCAATTAGGATCAGTCATCGCAATCCTCTGTACCAGTTCGTCGATTACGTTTTCAGTCTGTTCATCTTTTGCTACCCGTCGTCTTACACCAATTCGCTGGCGTCTCATTTGTTCTTCTTGGGAACGCTGAAATGATTAGACTGACTGTTGAAATGATAATCAATTAGGATCTAGCAAAAATAATTGTGTAAAAATAAATAGAATTACATTTTCTTCGCTTATATTATAATCTATTCCAACCTGTGATGCAGCATGGCGAGCTTCATTTTCAGCAACTGCTTGCTGGAATCGTTTTGCAAATGTCAATAATCGTGAAAAAAATGCATGCGGTTGTTGATTTCGTGATGATTCGCCATAAAATTCTACGCATGCAGTGAAAGCTTCCTAAATTAATAGTAACAATCGAAGTCAACTTTCAACTACACATATTATTTGATTTAAAATTAATCTCAGCCTTTCAAAATTGTTAAGCATTTCAGTATATTCAATCTAAGTGAACTGAATATTTTTTCCAGATAGCACAGTTATAACTGCTATCACATAAACTGAAAAAGGAAAAGTAGCTTGCAATATTTAGAAAAATAAAAGGTGCAGGCAAATTCAAACGAAATTTTGAACTTACGGAAGCTGTCTTGCATTGTCCCTGTAAAACTGAAATTCGCTTTTCACATTTGTCCAGAAAATCGATTAATGATGACGGACAATCTCCTCCTTTCAATTCTCGTTCTTTCTTAGCTGAGGCAAAATTTGCTTCTAATTCTCGCATATCGGCCAAAACTGCTTCCCACATTACTAAAAAAGATAAATGAATGTTATAGTGCTCATTATTTTCTTTTCATTGATTTTAAATTATTAAAAAAATAAGTCTTACTGTTGCTGGCTTTATCGGCAAATTTCAACTGATCGGCAAAATCTAATAATCCGGGAAAACTTTGTGAAACTGTTTCTGCGATAATATGAAGTAATGAAAGCGATCGTTCTACTGAACTCTTCAAACCAGAAAGCTAAAAATAAAAAATGCGAATAACATAATGTTGCCAAATGAAGAAAATTAAGTCAGCGGATTTTTTTCGCTTACTTAAATAGAAAAGCCATACTAACTGCAAATCAAAAATCTTTTCTCTTTGAAATAAAAAACAGCAATTTTGTGATAAAAATTTCTTTAGTTTAAAGAGGAAATTTTTTTAGTTTATAAAAGTACTTTCTCAAATCAAAACGAACCGTATCCAAACTTGATAATTTGAAACCATAAACACCTCCTTTTCGCCCGCTGTTCATATAATTCCCATATGCAAGCAGTACTTCCAAAAGCCGATGGAATTTTGTTGCTTCACGGACACATTTCGAAGCTGCCGTTAAATTGACAAATTGCTGCAGAAATAAACATCATGGAGTAATACGGATTTCGGAAACATTATAAAGTTTTAGTAATAATAAATGAATATTCAAAATCCCATCAACTGAGAATTTAGAAATTTCGAAATGCGTAATCAATCCTATTTGAAAGTGATGCTTTTACCGGTTCTAGCAGATCGGCACTTTCATCAAATGTTGCCATGAAAGACATGATTTTTATTTTATGCTCAAACCGTTCGATTTTGACGAGCTGAGCAAGAAATTGATCTTCGTCCGAAAGGTCCGAAAAATTTTTATGCTCTAATTCATATTCCTTGAATTTCACTATTTCCCTAAAAATTAAGAAATTTTAAGAATATTTCAATCAATCATCTTCATAAGCTAACTGCTTCATTTGGCAGTTGAAGCAAGTTTGGAGATTTCAATATCTTGTTTCTCCATCATCTTGAGTCCACACAAAATCGTTCTTTCCGTAAAAAGAAAATGCTTACTCATGAGTTGGTGCAATCTTTATTAAAATGTCGACACTTTCTGGAACAAGGGCTTTCAAATCCATTCGATGAACAGCAGACATAATCACCGGTGCACTCATTGCCAACTTTCGGCATGTGATTGCTAAAGAAAAACGATACAACAAATGCCAGAATATACTGTAATTACATTTTCTTAAAATATTAAAACCATTTTCAACTACTTTAAAAATTATTTTTTAAGTCAAAATTTTAGTATAAGCAAAGATCCTGATCGTTATTGAAAACCATAACTTATAGTGCAAGAAATCTATCTTTTTGCATCATTTCGTATTTTTCGTTCGCTTTCATCTTCAGGATCAAAAAATAATTAAATGCCATCACGAACATTTGACAAATTGTACGAAACACTCATTCGTTAACATAATGGTGACCATGAATATAACAATGATCTATCATTGCTATATTTATGATTATCATTGTGATTGCATCAAGATAACGAAACTATCACGTCAACTAACCGATATTTTGCAAACGTTTCGTATCCAAAATTGAATTCTTCTTGACTGTACTACCATTACTGATGCCATTTGGAGAAAACTGTCCTGGAGGGCATGACTCGGTGGTATCAGGGCGTTTGGCAATTCCAATTTTGAATAAATCTTCCAGAGCAGTGAAGTCAATTTTCTAATGCAAAAATTTATTGAATACAGTTTGAAGAAATTAAAAAAAGAACGTTAGGAATGACCAACTTTTATTAAGTTGAAATCAATAAACTAAAGTAGCATGAAAATAAGAACATCAGATAATATATTTTTTGATTTTTAATATCTACTTTTACATAATAAAAGGTAAGTAACCAAAAGAATGATAAATTGTAAGAGTTTTTATTTGGCCATAAATACTATTTCGCGAAAAAGTAACTTACATCCATTATCTTTTCATCATCAAGATTGTTGAAAACTGTATCTTTCACCTGATTTGGCTTCAATGGACACCAATTTAATAGTGGCAGCTTATTCCTGAAAGCAATTTTTCTTTAAAAATATTTGAAGAAATTTCATCGTTCCCTCTCCTGCAGTTAGATAAGCCAACAATCACCAATATTTATGACTGCAGTTTATCCAAAAATTTACATCCTCAACATCATTAAAACAAGCAAAAAATAAAAAATAAATTTCGATCATTTGTTCTGGAAAAAATTTCAAAGATTACATGATTTTAAAATTATAAGAATAGTTACCTAGTATTGTAAATTTTTTTGATGGTCATAACATCGCTTGAAGGAGGAGAAATTTTTGAAGACATCTGTGAAGATTTGATTGAATTTAACAGTGGCGGTGGTGGTGGTGGGGGCAATTTTCCGACTGCATTGTTTATCAGAAGTGGTGGTGGAGGTGGTGGAATATTATTTGCTGGTGCCAAATTTGCAGGTTCTCTTCCCTCATGAAGTCCTGAAGGTGGTGGTGGTGGTGGTGGAGGACTTGGCGAATTTATCGTTGATACAGGTTCTTTCTTAGCCTCAATTAAACCAGCTGCAAATTGAAAATATCAATGAAATTCTTCTAAATACAAATATAATCAAGATGCTGATAAGCATCACATTGGTTTTAAATTTTTATACGAAAACTCAAATACTCTAGATTAAAAGGTTACAAAAGAGTTTCCAGAGATAATATCTTCAATAATCAATGCATGTAAATTTTATTAAGTTATGGAGGTCTACTAAACCAGTAAAATTTAATGCATCACTTTTATCACTGACCATATGAGAATACATACAAACAAAAAAAAATAGCATCAGCATATCCAGCAGCTTTTCGACTTTAACCTTTCTGAAATGCATACCTTTCATGTTTGCTTGCATTCTTTCAAGTTCTTGTATTCTAGATTCCAGTTTCGCTTGCTGCTCTCGACTTGCTTTATCTTTCTCACTTAATGTCCGCCTCATTGTGTTTAACGTGGAATCGTGCTCCTTTAAAAGTTTTTCTTTCTCTGCATTTAACTCCTTCAAACGACGATCAAGTTGTGCCAAACGAGCTATGTAATCGGCTTCCACTACTTGTAATCTTTCCTTGATCTAAAATAAATTCCTAAAAATTCGAAAAATTTGCCAAAATATCAAGAAATTTCAAAATCTGCGGAATCTCAAAAAACTCCACAGAAGGATGAATTTAAAAAACTACAATGTATGTTTTGTTTCTTGAAAAAGATAAAAAATAAATTTAAACTGATTGAAAAATGTTGCAAATAAGTTGAAAAATGCTGCTGCAGACGTAATACAAGAGAAAAGAATCTAAAATCAGGTGAAATTAACAAAGCAACCTTCGATAACTCATCACTAAGACGACTATTCTCTGCTTCCAATTCGACCTTTTTATCGGTCTCATCCAATAAAAAATGTACATCAATCTTGTTATCCAAATATGCATTTACATGTGTTTGTAACTGTTCACATTCCGTATTTCGTAAGACCTGCAACATATATAAATTTAAATTTATCTGAGAATATCATGAGAATTAATTCAACCTATTTGGCAAATTCGGATTTGGAGTTAAAAAGATTTGTGACAATGGTCCAAGATAAAAAATACCTCTAAATAATCATCAAGACCCAGAAGAGTAAGCTCATATTGCAAGTAACTGCGATAGTTCATACTTTCCGTAGAATGTACCACAATGTTGAAAAACTGCATACATGATGTCATAAAATCAACATTGAATTCCGGTGGTTTTAAAAAATATGAAAGCAATAGTTGAAATCGATAGGTTTCTTTGTATTCCTGTAAAGACAGCTCTATAAATATTCTAACATTATGAAGCGCAGAGCCTTTGATAGTTAATATATTTAAATAATATGTTCTGCTTTTCTTGGTGAGAGGAGAACTTGGCTACTGATAAATTGTTATGGACACAAGGAAGAATTTCTTGCGCCAAAAATTTTAATAAAACAAACATGAAGCCAGATATTTTAAATTATGCACCAAAAAAAACTAAATATTTCTTTACTAATGAAGCATATAAGGGATAATCATCCTAATCGATTAGAAGATAGCTGCATAAGAATAAAAGAAAATTAGTCAAAGTCTTAGAAGTAAAAGTAATTTACCGATCGGAAGCGATTAAATGCACTAATTATCAAATCATGCCCACCATTGACAAGACATATTGCTGCAAGTAATTCTAACGCCAAAGCTTTAGTCCTGGAGTAAAAAATCTGAGCAATAGAGGGAAATTACATGTGATTTAAATATCAGGAAATCATTCAATTTGAATGTTAAAGATTGACTTCATCATTTAAAAAAGCGTTATCGAAAAATAGTGATTTTGAAAACAAAAATGTCAAAAAATGTATGTAGAAGGATTATGAAAAGCAAACCGTAAACTTTGATGCAGAATACTTCGAGCTATACAATAAATTGCTTGTGGATTATTGAACACCATATTAAACCCGTACTGCAATGATAATCTAGTGCAGATAAAAATCACTTCTGCTTTACATATTATGGAAATCTTCCTAATATGTCAAGAATTGAAAGTAGGAGAAGTTTCAGTGATTAAAAAAAAAGCAAAATTACATAAAGTGAAGAGTAAAATAACTTATTATACTTTCCACTATCATATTTATTTATCGCTTTCTATCTTCATACTATCATACTTTTTAATTATTACAGTTTTCGACAAAAAATTCGTGATGTGCTTAACATACTTTTACAATGAATATTTACCTTATTATTCATGATTGCTCGTAAACAGCTCACACAAACATGTATATCATCATCACGATCACCATGATTCTTTAAATTTTTCTTTGTAACACTTATTGTTCGCCGAAATAAGCCACCCGTTATTCTTTCATCCGAAGAATGATCATTGTCGTTGGGATTCAAAACTGCTAAGCTATGATTCTGAGATGCATGTGAATAGGGAAATGCTCCACTTGATGAAGCACCATCCTGATTTGAATTGCTGCAAACATTATAAATACATCATTTCGAATCATTTCTTTTTCTAGCAATTGTGGATATGCGATAACACTATGTGAAACACTGCTTGAAGATTATTTTCATTTTGACTTTCAATGATAAAAGAAGAAATTTACCTTCCCCAGCTTCCATCTTCTTGAAGTTGTGTTAAGTAATCGATTAACATATTCAAGCCATTATTCTGATCGTTCAGAAACATTCGCACCCAACTTTAAGCAGGAAAATTTATCACTCAACCAACTAGCTTTATATTAAATACGGTTTAAATAAGAGCAAACATAATTGTACTTAATTAAATACGATATGAAAATTATATCACTTTAATTATATAGCAAAAGAATATCCCTACTCGATAGTATTTGTTCGCAATGAAATCTCGATATGTTTTAATATTTTCGTTGATGTTTCATCACCCAGTAATTTTTTCTTCTGCAAAGTGTCTCGATTAAAACTCGACAAATTTTACGAATAAAATCTAAGAAAAGCTCGGTGATATTACTTATATAGAGGAATAACGATAAAAAACGAAAAAATCCATTTTTAGAAACCAGTTAAAGAAAATGCTATGCAGTTCACCAAATTCTTTTTCACTTGACAATCCATTCTTTTAATGCTTTTGTAAGAAGCTTTTTCTTTCTTGCCACATTTAATAGAGCATGTGACAATTAAATGCTCAGTATTTTTTTAGACTATAAATTTTCACCATCTAATTCGTAGATTACCAATCATTGATTGCCATAAGATAAAAAGATAAATCTAACGATAATATCACAACCTTAGGCAAGGAAAAAAAATCTCACCTTTTTGGAAACTCTCCGATCCAAATAAACTGCCAACTTTTCCAGATACACAGAGGGATCTGCCACGGCACACATTCTTCTCTGAAATTCAAAAAAAGGAGTTCTATAAAGGAAGACATAAACATCAATAACGATAACTATTTATAGGAGATGGCTATAAGTGCTGAAAAAAATGATCAACATTAGCTTCATGAAAACATTATATATGGCAAAAAATATTGCATTTATACAATTATATTTTATTTTCAGTACCTTCGCTTCTTTATCCAATAATATTTGAAAACATTTTCAAGTTCATTTGAAAGACGAACCTGATCACAAACCAACTCCCATTTCTTATTTAAATCATAGCTTCTCAAAATTCGCATCTTATCTGGAGGAAGATCCATTTTATTCTGCAAAAAAAAAGACGCATTATAAAAATTCCTATATTTTAAATCAAAAATTCAACATTGCTTGAAAGAATGCAAAACATTCAACAATTCATTTCTTCATATTTTACACAAAATAGCAAAAAAAATGTTGGTTAACAATTTTTTTTGGTAGACAATCAAAAGAGAACAGTATATAAATTCCAATAATATTTAAAGATTAGAATACGAAACATAATTTTCTATGTATGTAAGTACGTAAATTCCAATAATACTTGAAGATCTACAATACGAAAAATTTTGTTGAATTTTCCACAATTTTCATCATATTCGCTACTCTGAATACTCCATAAGAAAAAGCACTGTCACATGTTAAAATTCTTAAATAATAATCAAAAACCATCCATACCATTCTCAATTAGTTAAAATTTATTGACAATAAAACTTAACCAACTGTAAATGGTTAATTTTAAAATATAAGAAAACCAATAATTATTTTTTCAACTATTTCCTTTATTTAATCTTTCCTTAATTTTTGTTTTCATTAGTTATTGTACAAAGAAAAATTTTTAAAAAAAGAAAAAACATACCAAAACTTCTTCAAAAGCACACAAAAGTTCCCCTTCAGGAGGTAACTGAGATGCCGAATCATCTTTTGAGATATCCTTCTGTAAACCATCAATTCGTACCGCCATGGTTGCCCTATCCTTGCCACGGCAATATGATGGAGATGATGAATAACGTCGAGCAACCTTTTTGCTAACTCGAAACCCGCAACCTGCTAGAAAAGATAAATATAGTTGAGAATGTAAGAAAATTATGAAAATTAGAGAAAAAAGCACGGAGAGACATATTACCTTCAGAAGAAAATAACTTATTAGCAAATTACAATGAAGGGACATCATGAAAATATACAAAAAACGGGAAAGAACTTCCTATTACTTCTCGCTAAGAAAAAAGGAAGATGTGCTTTCTTAAATTAAAAAATTCTGTTTTCAAAAGAAAATCACAATTGATGCGAGAAAAAAATATCATTTCTTCTCATACAGAAGTTGCAAGCTTCATGAAGATGTTTCGTTAAGAAACAATTATTTAAGCGATTTGGCCGAAAAATAAGGTCGATTTCGTCGGATAATAAAAACACTGACAACAGCACCGCACTACTTTCTCGATAGTAAAAAAATTAATTTGGGATTAGCGATCGCAACTTTAATAAGCGAATTAATTGTCGCATAACAATAAACTAATGAGAAAATGAGTGAAGAGTTGAATGATGATGAAACTCGGCTTTAGTTGACCTCGAAAACAGCTGCAAACATCTTAATTATCAACTTCCCGTAGCAATCTTGTGAATGAGTCATCGCTACAGATAAACGTTTAGGGAATAGGACAAAATTTGAATTTCGAAACATTGATCCTTATTTAAATTACCTAAAAGTTTAATCATCACCGAGAAAAACATTAGAAATAAATCAGTATGAGAAAAACCACCAACGAATATCTATAACGCACAAAATGGACTATTACAATAACCTGTATGA